CTGCGCGCCATGTGGGACCCTCCTCTGGTGGCCGGGGAGCAGCCGGGGATCGAACCGACGCCGCAGAGGCTGCGGGCAGCTTCGCAACCCAGCACTCAACCGCTGCGCCACCGGGGAGGCCCAAGAATAGTATCCCCCTCTTAAGAATGCTGTTGAAAGACCATGATTGCAATTTTCATGATATACAACCACAAAAAATTTGTAGAAGAGCAAATATGCCAAAATGTTAATTATTGTTTTAGTAGTAGGTATGTGGGTGTTCTATAATTCTTCGTAATGTATAAAATTTTTAATAAAAATTAAATCTAATAAAAAATAAGGTTTAAAGATTTTCTCTCTCCCACACACAAAATTACATACCAATGCACACCTACAGAAAAGTTAAAGTAGCACACCAGTGAGGGTGAGGATATGGAGCACTGAGACTTTTCAGACACAGCTAGTGGAAGTATAAATTGAATCACTTTGCCATCAACAAGTAAAGTTGAAGGAACATATCCATGACCTGAAAATTCTACTCCAAGATATTTACCTACTTCTATACCTACTTGTATCCATGATCTATACCCTACTTGTACTTGCATACAGGAAGACTTGGATGTGACTGCTCAGAGCCAAGATATTCACAAAATCCCCAAGTAACAAGACCATAGTTATAACAGTGACAATGAATTAAATGCAGATATGTGCGATGACATGAATGACTCTCACAAACATTGTATTGGTGGAATAAGTCAGAACACAAATTGTTGGATCCATTTCTATAAATGTCAATAACAGGTAAAACCAAATGACAGTTTCCATATATATGTAGTACTGCAACAAAATTTTAAAGAAAAGCAATAAAGGGAATGACCACAGATTAAGCAGAGTGATTATCCTTAAAAGGGGAAACTGCAATGGAGGTATTCAGGAGGGTTCCAGGAGGCTAGTAGTTTTTTTTTCTTGACCTGAAAGAATATAATTTGTGTCTTTGTGTGTGTGTGTTTATGTATATATACACATTTTTAAAAAAACCATTTAATGTATGTTATGTTTAATGTACTTTTCTATATGCATATTATAGTTGACAACAAAGATTTAAAATAAATGTCAGGGCCTCCCCGGTGGCGCAGCGGTTGAGCGCTGGGTTGCGAAGCTGCCCGCGGCCTCTGCGGCGCCGGTTCAATCCCCGGCTGCTCCCCGGCCACCAGAGGAGGGTCCCACATGGCGCGCAGACTGCTCCCCTCAGCAGTGTGCTTCGGTCCTTCTGCCTGCTCTGCTCCCCGCTCTGGCTCTGGTGAATTCTCTCACCCTCCCGCGCTTCTGACTGTACCCAGTGCATGTATAAAAACAAAACAAACAAACAAACCAGCAAACAAATAAATAAAGCATGCCTCTATAAAAAAAAAAAATAAATAAATAAATAAATAAATAAATAAAATAAATGTCAAACTTCTCCAAAGACACACAAATGGCTGGCTATGGGCAATGAAAAAAAGGTTTAATGTCATTTATTATAAAGGAAATACAAATCAAAACCACAATGAGACAATATCAGCTCACCCCTGTGAGACCAATCTTTATTTAAAAGATTGGCAACAAAAAATGTTGGTGAGGATGTGAAGAAAAAGGTGCTTTTATCCACAGTTGATAAGAATGTAAACTGGTATAGTGTCTATGGAAAACAGTATGGAGATTACTCAAAAAACAAAAAATATCGAGACTGGAAATACCTTATGATCCAGCAATACCACTTCAGTGTATTTAGTCAAATATGAAAATGCTAAAGATTTATGAACGCCTATGTTCATGGCAGCATTATTCACAATAGCCAAGACATGGAACCAACCTAAATGCCCATCAATGGAGAACTGAATAAAGAAATGGTCATATATACACTCAATGGAACACCCACTCAGCTATTTTAAAAAATGAAACAGCACCTTCTTGGACAACATTGATGGAGCTTAAGGAGATTATAGGAAGGGAAATAAGTCAAAAAGTAATACAGTTACCAGATACTTTCAATCATTTACAGAATATAAATAACCAAAGAAAACAAACTGGTAAAACAACAAAAATAACTTAGATTCTGTGAAAACTATAGGAGATGAAGGTGAGGGAAAGGGGGGTGGGGTGGGTGTGATAAGGTACTGACTGTAACTCATTTGGGCGAGGGCAGAATGTGCACATATGAATCACTTTGCCATTGTAGGGTAAGGAAAAAGTAGCAGGCTTTTCTGCCCTCCCGCCATTAGGATAGATGAGGGAACCCTGTGGTCCCGAATGCATGCCTGATGGCGGGCACCTGAAGTGGGTACACCTGGGCTGAGAGACTGAGTTTATAAGGGCAGCGTCATGGGGACGCCAGCAGAAGCCAAGAACGAACGCAAGCTGAGAGAAGAACACAGAGAGAACACCAGAGAGAGCCCAGATAGAGTGAGGATTTGCTGGGGGCTGGGAGGACTGCCAGCCTCCCGACCCCCCATTACCCCTGCCTGCCATATGCCTGGTAAATCTAAATAAAAGCCTGCAAAAGCCACTGTGGACTCTGACTCCTCCTTTACCACGTCTGATGGATCAGAAAACCTGCTCTGGATGGGCTAAAGGAACATATCCATGACCTGAAAATTCTACTCCAAGATATTTACCTACTTTTATACCTATTTGTATCCATGATCTACAACCTACTTGTACTTGTATACAGGAAGACTTGGATGTGACTGCTCAGAGCCAATATAGTCACTCCCAAAATTACATAGATAGGTAAACAATTGGTGAATCAACAAAATTTGAGAAAAAAGAAATGAATGTTGAAAAATAAAATGTTAAACAAAAAAATCTGGTCTAAAACCCCAGTGCTACAGGGATGGACTCCTTTCTACCTTGTTTGCCTGGGGGAAGATGGCCTTTGAGATTAAACAACACATTTCTGGGCTCTTCAGGGGAAGCCTTTCTGGATTTCCACGGTCCTCACTGCAGAGGCTTGATCAGTTTTTGCCAGATATTGAGCAAAAGTATTTCATTTTGGAAATGTGCCCATCCTGCCAAAAGAGGTGTTTCTTACTCCTGTAGCTGGTAAGCAATATGAAAGAGGGTGAAAATGTCCTGTATCTGTTATTCCCGGGGCCTTAAGGGCATCACAAAATTTGGGGAAGAAAGGTGTCTCAGAGCACCAAGGTCCTATATTGAATTTTGGGCCCTGGGGGGGGGGGGGAAATGATGGTCTCAGGGACACAGAAAGTGATAACGACATACCTGGGCCTCAAATCCTGGCCCGATCCATGTCTGCAGGCACCTAGAGGGAAAATTTCCCTATTTCTTGTTCACTTGGTCATTAGTGAGGAATTTCATTCAGCTGTGAGTAACAGCAACCAATGGAACGTTGCCATTTTCTCTTGTGGAACAATTATTCTTATAAGTGGTTGCTGGTGTTGATGCAATAATTGAAGAGGGGATGGGGGGGCCATTTTGGCCTTTTCCATGTGGCCCCAAACCAGGGCCTGCCTTAGGACATATGGCACCTTTGTGCAAAGTACAAAAAGGCACCTTTGAAAAGATCAAGTATAACAAGGCCCACCCCTTCCCAGGGGAACAATTTACTAAAGGCTACTCTCCAACACAGTCTGGGTTTTATAGCTGTTCATACCAACACACCGATGCAAGTGTAGACATCTCAAATGACCCTCAGGAGTTTTTCATGTAGTTCTAAGAACTGAATTATTCAACGCCCGTAGGACCTGATGCTACAGTACTAAAATATTAAGTTCTGAAATGAAAATGACCACCACCCCAAAGCCACAGATTACAGGAAATTAAGTAGAGGGCCAACTAGAGGCAAAGTCCAGGCAATGCATCTAATAGGTTCAGAGGGTCCACCACAGTTGGGTTCAGGAGGAGGAGGGGAGTATGCAGCTGTCCTTGCTGAGGCAGGGGCTGAGCTGTTCAGACACAAGTTCAAAATCAGGGCAGGCTAGACACCAGGCTAGACAAGTCCCAGGCTACAAAAAAATGTCATCTGCACTTTTACAGTTTGGTCAGCTTGCTCTTAGAACTGAGAGTGAAGCATTCATTTGTACTCAAAAATATGTCCTTTGATGACAGAAAAAAAAAAATCAGGAAAGATGCTTTTCATAGCATGCAGGTGGAGATGAGGGGTGGGAGGGAGAGGGAGCGCACACAGCAGTTTAGCATTAGAATCAGCCTTAACATTTACAACTCACAGCACCCGGAAGCCCTAAGGGTAAAGGATCAGAGCAGCCAGTGCAGCAACTACATTTATAATGTAAGAAGCAAAGGCCTACATTTAGAGCTGCCAGGTCACTGTCCACAGACTGGGAAACTCAGGGGGAAATGCACAATATTTTTCTCTCCTAGAGCCATTCAATCCCTAAGAAGGCCTTTAGAGAAGCCCCAATTGAGTCCATATCTGGGCCAAATGTCCATCCTCTCTGTAATTAGATTTTACCTACTTTCAAGCTAATAATTTAGTCTGCTGCTGTTCCCTGTGAGCTGCCAGAAGACCCTGGATGGGCCAGAGACAAGACTCCTTTAGTCCCAGCACAGCACCCAGCTCGCACACCGGCATTCCCACATTGTCCTCACCCCCGAGTCTCAGGGGAGCAGCCAGATGGACTACCCCATAAGGCCACTACCACCAGGGAACTCCGAGCTTGGAAAACCACTGCTTTTATAGCAAGCAAGCCTGTTCTTAGTCCAGGAGGGCTGTCATCTTGTCTCCCAAGGTTACCACCTGCATCAACCACCAGGAGAAACGGCTGAGAAGAAGGCAGTCAGGGCTGCACATCTGGGCTCACACACCGGCCAGTAGCGCCCAGAGAGGACTCCGCCAGCAATTTTGCCTCAACCGCATCATGGAGCCTCATGGAATGGGGAAGCAGCAATCCCGGAGAGAAGGCGCAGGGGTAGCACACGGGTAAACAGCAAAATAACAAGAGCATGCGTCAACCAGCCTTAAATTAGCTGAAAGTGAGTATTATCTGACCCACTGGACTTACCTGTGAGCCACCATTTTCTTCCTTATATGCCAAGCGCTCTGCTCCTGCTCAGCTGCACAAGGTGCCTGGTCGCAGGCGTCCGGGCCCCAGAAGGGCAGTCCCCAGTCTCTGCGCCTCCTGTGAATGCGACGTTCTGAAGCCATAGGTGCCCGCCCAGAAAACGGGGAACACCTGCCTTGCTCCTTCGAGTGACAGCTCATCGGTCGTGGCCAAAGCAATGTTTATTATCCACAGTCGGCTGTGTTGTCCAGGAGCAGTTTTCGCTGTTTTTACCTCCAGTTTTCGGGCCTGCCTGAGCTCCACTTTAAACGCCCGCGGTTGGGGGGCGGGGCGCGGGGCGGAGCCAGGGGCGCACCCAGCTGACCTGCTGAATGAGGCCTGGCCACGTGCTGCTGCAGGGACTCCGCACGGTTTTTACTAGGCCAAGCTCTTTTGCTTCACGCCTGTCTGAGGAGGTTTCTCTTGCAGGTTTCTTGGATCCTATGTAAGGTGAAATGAAAGCCATGTGTATTCTCCCACCTCCGGTCTTTTCAGTTTCCTTTCATGGGGTTAGACAAACTGCCTCATTTCCAGACCTTATCTCACCAGTTCCCAGTACTCCTTTGCCAGCATCAATCAGCAAGGAATGAGCTAAATATCTCGCAAAGGAGATTTTTTTTTGTTTGTTTTTAATTGAAGCAAAACACTATGAGGTACTCGGGCTGCCTCCTAGTTAGTGACAATGACCCCCAACCTGACAGGGAGGGGGTCTTTATTTAGGTTCACTCAATCGTTTCTATCAATCTATGTATATACTTTAAATATTTCAAATCACAATGGGAGTGGGGTGGGGGCGGGGAGGTAAAAAAAATTTTAAAAATAAATATTTCAAATCATAATTATCCTTCTGCCTTCCTTTTCTCTTGCTCTTACTCTTTTTCTCCTTTCCTACTTGCAGTGGTCAAAAGGAAGGTATAGGGAGTGTTACCAGAGTTGGGAATTGTCAGGCTAGTAGAAATAAACCACTTCAGTTCCTTTTCTAACTGCCACCTCAAATCTTGACTTTAAAAAAAAATTCCTCTTGAGAAATCCAAACATTTCTGCACAGATCCCCACAGCCTCGGTGGTGATGAGCCCATCTTTACAGTTCCCAAGTGGTGGAGGCCTCCAGGCCATGGGCATCATCTGTACTGAAGAGTGCTGGCATCCACCTGGAGCCAAGGAGCAGCAGGACTGAGTGTGGAGGGGACACTGCTGACCTATTATGTAAGACATGGACTTCAGGTTACCACTTTCATCCACATTCACACCTTTGTACCTTTGTGACCAATAGATTAGATTTCTAAGAAAACTACTAAACATTACCCAAAGTTTAGGAAGAATGCAAAGCCATATTGGCCTCATTACCACGCTGAGAAAGTCTCCAAATACTAACTACAGAGCAGCATTAGCAAACACGTTTTTCTGTTCATTACTTACACCCCATGATCAATATTGACTTCCTGCAGCAGGAGTCAGCTTTCTTGCATTTCAGTAAAGGATTCAATAAAAAGTATTTAAGCTTGGTGAACTGTATGATTTCTGTGGCAGTTACTTAGTTCTGCAATGGAGTATGAAAGAGACCAGACTACACAGAAATAAGTGAGTGTGGCTTATGTCCTAATTGAAGTGCCAGCAAGACAAGGAGCAGGTTCTCTATGGATCTGGGCAGATGGGTAAAGGAGTGTCCTGGAGCCTGCAGTGGCTTTTTCAGGCTTTTAATGAATTTTGTATGCCAGGCCTCCCAGTCCCCAGCGAATCTCTACTCTTCCTGGGCTCTCTGGCGTTCTCTCGTGCTCTCTTTGCTGGTCTCGACTACACTCCACTGCCAAGTCTTCTGCCGCCTCATCCTCTGCTGCCGCCCTCATATGCTCAATCTCTCGGCTCAGGTGCACCCACTTTCACACGCCCACATCATGCTCCAGGTGCCTGCCATCAGGCATGCGTGTAAGACCACAGGTGCCGATCATAGATGCTAATGGTGGGAGGGTAGAAAAATCCTGATAACTTCTATTTACCCTACACTAATAAAACTTTTTTACAAAAACAAGCAGCAGACTGGATGAGATCCTCAAGTCACAGTTTGCAATCCAGGAGCCCAGTAACCACTGTGTTTTAATGGAATATAGGATTCCATTGGGCTCAGGAGAGTGTTGTAATCAATTAGCCTGTCTTTGAAGGAATAGCACGTTCTGGATCTGCGGTCCATAAAATGGGCTATATTTATCCAGGACGTGAATGACATGATCCATTGAGACATGGGAAAAAGCTTTAGAATTTCTATTTATTTTTATCTTACCTGTTTTCATGTTAGACTATTGATCTTGTCTACTACATCATGGACCCACGGCACCCTAAAGAGGGTGTCGTAGCAGATGTGCCCTGTGGATTGGCAATATCTTCCCATTGTCACTCCCAGCTGGTCAGGTCTCAGCTGTGCATGTCTCCCAGGAATATTCCAGGAGGACAGTCATGATCCTTAATTCCCTGTGGGTAGTTCTGGGGAGTATGATGGGCTTGCTAGACTAGATTCTGTCCCAAATCTGATCAGCAGCTCAGCTATCATTCAGAACCCAATGAAAATGACACCTGCGCCCCCAGACACAGACACTGCTCACAAGAGCATAAACAAGTCATAGTGTACTGAATTTGAGTAGTCTCCCTCTCCCTCAGTAGTTCAGGGCTGAACTACTGTACATGTGCACAGTTTGTGCACTGACAAGGATGTCATATCTAAGACATCATTCACATTGCAAACATTCACTACTGTGACTTCTTTTGGCATGTAGCAGTATCTTGTTCTAACAAGATCAGGACATCATGACAACTTCTGAACAATGGATATAAAATATCTTGGGGGTGGTCATCTTTTTCAAATTCCACAAAGGCACTTCACGGGTTAGCAGCAGCCACAGTTATGGCACCTCTAATAGGTCGGAAAGGAAAAGAAGGGAAATACGCAGAGCACAACAGATTCAGTGCTGAGTAATCCTTAGCACAAACCTTGAACAGCAAGGGCCCAGAGCAGATAGTTGGCCTCAGTCATGTCTACTCATGATTGGAGGTAAAGGGGCAAAGGGACAGAAATTACTTCTTTCCCCATCCCACTCACTCTCCCTTTCACACAGAGAAGAGGAACTGAAAGAGGCAAAGAAGGGAGATGTTAACCCACACAGAAGCAAGTGATGAAATAAGACTTCTTACAGAAGAGGCCCTTGTGGTTTTGTGGCCTCCCAGTACCCATTCCCCTTTCTCCTGGTAACATCTCTCCACCTCCCCTTTGAGAAAGTTCTGCCTCATTGTGTAAAGTCTCTGGAACTGCCAAGCAAAATACCCTGCCTTCTATTGGCCAAAGGAGTGGTCATGTGGGCTCTCTCCCTCACTGTGATGGTTAACTTTGTATGTGAACTTCACTAGGTCACACGGTGCCCAGATATTTGGTCAAAGATTATTCTGGGTATTTCTGCAATGGTGTTTTGGGATGATTAACATTTTAATCAGTAAAGCAAACAGCCCTTCATATGTGGGTGGGCCTCATCCAACCAGTTGAAGACCAAGGTAGACTTGAAAGACTAAATCACCCCTGAGGAAGAGAACTTACCAGCAGATTGCTTTTGGGCTTCATCTGCAACATCAGCTCTTCCTGTTGATAGCCCTTGAACTAGAATATCAGCTCCCTGGTTCTCCAACTCCAACCTGCCTGCCCATCCTGCAGGCTGGGTTTGTCAGCCTTCAGAATCATGTAAGACAATTCCTTATGCGCGCTCTCTCTCTTTTTTTTTTTTTTTAAGATTTATTTATTTATGCACACAAGAATGGAGTTATAGGCCAGAGGTGTGGGGGGCGGGGGGCAGTGAGAGGATTTACCAGAGACAGAGTGGGGAGCAGAACAGGCAGACTGACTGAAATACACTGCTGAGGGGAGCAGCGGGCAAGGCAGGAGAGGTCTGCTGCACCATGTGGGTTGCTCCCGGGCCAGGGATCTAACTCTTGCGGCAGTGGCTGCAGTCAGCTTCATAGGTTGTGTCTTAATCCCTTGCACCACCAGGTGAGGCCCTCTCTTTCTCTCTTGTTCTTCCCCCCTCCCTCTCTGTATTTATATCTTCTCATACATTTCCCTATGGATTTTGATGCATGAGTAAAGACACTCAAAAATATAACAGTTGATGGAGAGCATTCATTTCAGCAGTGATATTCGGATGAGACTGTCAGGGACCTAGTTCCTGCTACCTAAACCCGTCCAGAAATGTTCTCAATCTTGTCCTTTTCTGAAATAGGTACTCATTATTCCTAACAGTTCTTTTATCTTCTTTGAGTCCACAAACATTCACTGAGCACATACTACATTCTCGGTACTACGCTAGTGGGGAACAGCAATGAACAAGTTAGCCCCTGCTCTCCCGGAACTTATTTTCTGAGAAGTCCTTTTCTTCTTATGTAGGGAGCGCTTATTAAAGAGTTGATTTCTGTTGTTTGCCACCAAAGAATCCTGACCCCCTACTAAAATTCTAACTTCAGACACTTCTAGCCTTTCCCTCTCTGGGTCACCCCAGATAAGTCATATGTCAGTCTTCCATAAAAAATCAGAGGAGAGCCTCCCCGGTGGTGCAGCGGTTGGGCGCTGGGTTGCGATGCTGCCCGCAGCCTCTGCAGCTCCTGTTCAATCCCCGGCTGCTTCCCGGCTACCAAAGGAGGGTCCCACATGGCGCGCAGACCTCTCCTGCCACCTGCTGCTCCCCTCAGTAGTGTGCTTCGGTCCTTCTGCCTGCTCTGCTCCCCGCTCTGGCTCTGGTGAATTTTCTCACCCTCCCGTGCTTCTGACTGTACCCAGTGCTTGCATAAATAAATAAATCTCTAAAAAAATTAAAAAAATATTTTAAAAAATCACAGGAAAAGATCCCTGGGTCTGAGCAATTCTTGAAAGCCATTGCACTAGGATTACTCCAAGGAAAAAACTTGAAAACTCACCAGCAAACTTGTTTAATGTACCCACTTAAGGAGAATGAATGGCTCAGCAGGAACAACTGTATCAGGGTGTCTTCTCAACTGGATGCTTCAATCTAAACCATCTTCTCTCCTCTCCTGCTTATGACCTGAGGAAATACATTATAATGAGCATTATACTGCTCATGCCTCATTACAAGTTGTTTCAAGTTTAATCTTCACCAGAAGCCTTTTGATGCCCTTCCCAAAGGCCCACGGGATTTATTCTGGGATTAGACAGGAGACAAGATGAGAGAAGCTGATCAAAGTGGCCAGACACAGCTTTCTCACCAGGTAGCACCAGAGAGTTATTTAACACAACTGAAACTCTATCTTGCAGCAAGTAAGCATGCTGTTTGGTTCACTGTGGGGTTTCAATGACTATGGCTGGGAATTGTCACAGTTTAGTGTAGCACTCCTGCAAACTTTGGATCCAGCTTGCATAATGCAGTGTCTAAAGAACATGATTGCATGGAGCATGTTTGCAGTTAAAAATAGAATTTGGTCACATAACAACTCATCACAAACAGTAATGCTGCGGAGGAACAAAATGAAATAATAGTCACTGGGGGCTCCTGAACACCTGCCCCAGTCACTCAGTGCCTGTACTCTCTGGATGGCCAGCTCACTGACACTCACTGCACTAAAGTCAAATGGCAAAAAATAAACAGCCAGACTGACCCAGTTAAATCAAGAAACATGAGTATGCCTTTAAACAGTTCAGGGAGCCTCTCCAGGCCAGGCCTCTCAGGGATTTAGCTCTGTTTTCTAAAAGAATTAACTGTTATAGCTCCAGTGGCAGACATGCTGGGTTCACAGCTGGTTTGAAAGCTGAGACTTAGTTAGGTCTGGATCCTGCCCTTGTTGCTGTGTTTTAATTACATGTGCATGTGTTGTGCTCTGTGCAGAATGCACAAAATGTTGGCACCTTCTAAATGGATGCAGGAGTCTTGTCACCCACTGCTGAGACTTGCAAAGAGTTCAGAATTAGAAAAGAAAGATTTGGGTTTCCATGCCAGGAAAGAGATTAAAATGGTATTACAGGTCTATTTGGAAAGGTCACCTCAATTAAGGAGTGAGTGCATAGAAAGCCAAGCCATGAGAACAACTGATACTCTAATATACTATCAGAAAGAGAAAGAGAACAATGGGTTCTTGGATGGTGGGAGAGCTAGGATGGCCACACATGAGGAGAGAAATCCTACATTGTCAATCTATTAATAAAGATGTAAAATAATGGCACTTCATTAATAAAATATATAAAAATATATTCTGCCAGAAAAAGGAGAGGGAGATGTAGGAGAGCAAAAAGAAAGGGAGGCAGCCTTTACCATGCCCTCATCAACTGTCTGGCCAAGCAAATTGTTTCTGCTCTTTGAACCTTGCCACACCTCTTTAAAATGGGTCCACAATGCCTGTTCCCTTCCAAACTCACCAACATGTTGGAAAGTTTCATTGGCCAAATAGTGTCAGCTCTTTGTTTCTGGTTCTGAAATTCTAGAGTAGTCATACCCTCTGTGCTTCACAATCACCTGGGGAGCTTATAAAAATTACAATTCCCTGGGCTGCTGCCCCAGAGATGACTTTCAGGCGCAGGTAGAGCTAAAAAGCCCCCTTCCCAGATGATTCCAATGTGCAGCCAGGGCTGAGAACCATGAGCCATGATGGGGAGAAAAATCTTCCAACTGCTTCCCCAGGGAAGGTGGGATATGAAAGACACCCACGTGTCTTCACCCAGGTGTCTTTCCCACCTTCTCCAATCTTCGAAAGTTTCCTCCCATGAGGCTGGACAAATTGTCTTGTTCCCAGATGGTCTCTTGCCAACCACTCCCCACCCACGCATCCCTACCACTCTGCCATGTCAATCAGCAAGGGAATGTGCTAAATATCTTTAAAGGGTGGCTGGGAATTTTGTATTGCTCTTAATTGAGGTAAAAACTTAAGAAGCAGGGCCTCCCCTGGTGGCACAGCGGTTGAGCGCTGGGCTGTGAAGCTGCCCGCAGCCTCTGCAGCGCTGGCTCGATCCCCAGCCTCTGGCAAAGGTTCCACATGGCGCGCAGACCTCTCCTGCAGCACCTGCTGCTCCCCTCAGCAGTGTATTTCGTCAGTCTGTCTGTTCTGCTCCCCACTCTGGCTCTGGTGAATTCTCTCACCCTCTCGCCCTTCTGACTGTACCCAGTGCTTGTATAAATAAATTAATAAATCTTTAAAAAAAAAACTTAAGACGCATTTAAGTGTATTTATAATCGTTACCTAAAAGATGTTTCTCTTTAAAAATTTACTCAGCACTCCTCAGTCTGTGCTGCTGTGTTCAGAATAAGTTGCTGCCTTCACACCCAGCTGGTGACATTACACCCTCCGCTGTGCCTTAGGTCATGGGTTGTTATTAGTAAGGGATTTCTCGGTGGTAAGCGTCCTGTGGTAAGTGTCATGTGTAAGGTTCCTGGAGGCAATTTCATTGTGGGTGTGAAGAGCTTTCCCACACCAAACAATTCTCCAACACCAGGAGGAGGTCTGAGAATTCAACTCAATTCTGAAACTATCTATTCCAAGGTAGCATCAGATTCTATAGGTAACGGACTCAGTTCCCCCAAGGCCACCCTCTACTTCAGAGGCTGAAAGCTCCAGCTATTATCAGCGTTGCCGATCGACTGGCTATAAATCAGAGTTTCCCTCAACTAATTTGCCAGATAAGCTCACAGAACTCAAGAAACTAGTTACTGACTAGATCATCGATTTATTTCAAAGGACACTAAAAGATATGAATCAACAGCAAGATGAGGAGAAACACCAGGCAAGGAATGGGGAAGGGCACAGAACTTCCATGCCCTCTCTAGGCATGGACATCTCTTTTGGGGAACTTTTATAAAAGTTTCATTACACAGACATGACTGATTAACTCACTGGCCACTGGCAACTGATAGGAGGGTATGGCAACCTCAGGGAGGCATGGAGGTGCAACTAGTTCCAACCCTGTAATGACCTGCTTGGTTCTCCAGACAACCAGCCTCCATTACTTCCTAAAATGTCACCTCAGTGACATAACAAGAGACATATTTACTACTCTCAACACCTTGGAAATTTTAGGAGCTGTGAGCCAGGAACTGTGGATGAAGACCAGACATATATTTCTTATAAATCACAATATTGCACGCTATTCTCCTACAAATTGCCAATGATTCAGGGTAGATAAGGCATAGTGAATCCCTTAGATAGGAACTTAACTCCTCAGGATGGGTTGGTCAGTCCAGTTTATTTCCTATTGCCCCATGGGGCTCCTTTCTCCTTCTAATCATTTATTAGTGCATGTATACTCTACAGGTCAGTTGTGTTTCCCCCTTGTAGAAATTCTGAAAGACCCATTCATTGTTAAGACTCTGTGTCCTCCCAACATCCTATAATTTGGCTCTTTGGCATTGAAAGTACTTTGTGTGCTTCTCTTGGGCTAAATCAGGCATTTAGGAGATGGAAGCCTTTGGAAGAGAAGCCTAAGGACAAAATCAGGTCATCGAGGGACGTGGCTAAGAACTGGAAAACCCGGGCCTCCCTGGTGGCACAAGGGGTTAAGACACAACCTATAAAGCTGACTGCAGCCACTGCAGCATGAGTTCAATCCCCTGGCTGGCCAGGGACCTACTCACATGGCAAAGCAGACTTCTCTTGCCTCACCTGCTACTCTCCTCAGCAGTGTACTTAGGTCAATCTGCCTGTTCTGTTCCCCACTCTGTCTCTGGTGAATCCTCTCACCCCCCACAACTCTGGCCTGTACACCAGCTCTTGTATGCATAAATAAATCTTTTTTTAAAAAATGGGGCCTTGCCGGTGGCATAGCGGGTTGAGCTCAGTGCAGTGAAGCTGTCCACAGCCTCTGCAGCACAGATTCAATTCCCAGCCGGCTAGGGAGATTCCCACATGGTGTGGCAGACTTTTCCTGTCCCACCCGCTGCTCCCCTCAGCAGTGCATTTCGGTCACTCTGCCTGTTCTGCTCCTTGCTCTGTCTCTGGTGAATTCTCTCACCCTCCCACAACTCTGGTCTGTACCCCAGTGCTTGTATAAATAAATAAATCTTTAAAAACAAACAAACAAACAAACAAATAAATAAATAAATAAATGAACTAGAAAACCAAACCAGTTCTGGATTTGTCCTGTCTCTTATCACTTACTAGTTGTGCCCCCTGGAACAACATAACCAACCTCTCTGAGCCTGTCTACTCAAGTGTTAGCTATAAAGGTATATCATAGGAACTGGTGGGAGGATTACATAGGATGTACCTGGCATCATGTGAATACCCCAAAATGTTGGGGACTATGACCATTATTATTATTAATAGAGTAAGAATGAGGGCAGGATGGTGGACAATTGGCATCTCCACAGTATCAATGTCAGTTGTAAAGCAATAATAGGACATGGGGCCAAAAAACCTGAGTTTAAACTTAAGTTTAGAGCCATCCCCTTTCTCTATGAATTTAAATAAGTCACATCACTCCTTTGAGCTCTGCTTCCTACAGTTGCAAAATTGAGGTAATAATAATACAATAATAATGCCTAATCCATGGGACTGTTGTGAGGACCAAAGGCAGTAACGCACAAAAGTGTGCTTTGTAAGCTACAAAGCACCATCTTCACATCCAATTCTTAACATTTTCTGGGACTGGTCCTGAGTTGAAAAAAGGAATAAATGGGTTATCTTAAGATCAGAAATAAAAGAAAATGAGGCTCAACTCTCATGGCTGTAATCACCAAAGGGTAAGCCCCACATAGAGTCAGGAATCTGATTAAAAGGGAGCACCAGTGCTGTGCTAACTGTGCCCCTAAATGATCCTGTCCTTTGATCCAGCAACTGCCTACTGTTTACTTACCATATAACCATATACTGCCTCAGGAGACATCCTACCATTAGTTAAAGGTATTGATTTTCATAAAAGATGAACTTCGTAATAGATGACTTAATATCACAGGGAGGGAGGGGGAAAAAAAGAGGACAGAAAATGTCATAATGTATCTTCCTTTTTTCCCCTGACTCTCAAGGGGTTTTCTGTTGTTGTTAACTTTTTTTAATACTGTGTTGTGGGTGACACTTTCCTAGTATCTTATTTATGGGTTCCCTAGCCCCGGTCACTATATTATTTTAACCCACACTATTTTCCACTGCAGCCATAAATAAACATTTCCTAACTGAAAGATAAAGGCAGGAGCAGCTATGCCAGTCAGAGGAGCAATCCAAGGACAAAATGTTACCTACCACCTGTAAGCAAGCCCTGAATGGTTTACAAAGTGGAAGCTCTGTCTCTCTCAGGGTTCTGTGCTAGCTAATTACAATCTCTCTTCCTGCATGCTACAGGTGTCCTTAGAGCCCCTTCTGATCCAAACTGTCTGCCATTCACATCAAAGATACAGATGCTAGTCCTCCAGTATATTGATCTGTTAGAAACAATTAAAATTTAGCCAAAGGAGGGCCTCCCTGGTGGCGCAGCAGTTTAGCGCTGGACTATGAAGCTGCCCGCAGCCTCTGCAGCGCTGATTAGATCCCTGGCCGCCACCAATGGCCAGGGTCCCCATGGCGCAGCAGACCGATCCTGCAGCGCCCGCTGCTCCCCTCAGCAGTGTATTTTGTCAGTCTGTCTGTTCTGTTCCCCACTCTGGCTCTGGTGAATTCTCTCACCCTCCCACGCTGACTGACTGTACCCAGTGCTTGTATAAATAAATCTTTAAAAAAAAAATTATTTAAAAAAAATTTAGTCAAAGGAAATAAGGTCTAGTAGAATTCTAGGCTTCATTCTTGTGGGACCAAGAGGTATTATGGGAACAGGCAGGAGAAAATTTCTCCAGTAATAACTGAATCAGTGGTATGAAGTTTGTAAATGACTTCTACTCTCTTATCCACTGCCTACTAGAAAGAAACTGATGTTAACTGGGTCCATGGACATAGGAAGTGAGCCAGGAGTGTGAGAACAAAGGAATTTACCAAGAGTGTGGAGGAGTGCCACTCCTCCAGAATTTCTGACATGCTTGTGGAGGCACCGGGTTAACTCAGAGGGAAGAGAGGCACCCAAGCCCTTAGAAATGTTCTCTGTCCTTGAAAAGGCTTTGTTTGAGGAGTGTCTTGGAGTTGGAGTGAGTATAAAACATATATTTGTGATAGGAAAGCTCCTTTTGAGTTCTTCCTGTCCCCACATAACTTTATTTTATCCCCAAATTGGTAAATTAAGAATAAGAAAATAAGGGGCCTCCCTGGCAGCCTAGAGATTCTCAGCACTATCACTGCTATGCCCTGAGTTGGATCCCTGGCCAGAGAGCTAACCCACACAGCACAACAAACCTCTCCTGTCTTGCCTGCTGCTCCCCTCAGCAGTGTATTATAGTCAGTCCACCTGTTCTACTCCTCACTCTGTCTCTGGTGAGTCTTCTCACACCCCTCCCCACCCCCGACCCAGCACCTCTGACCTATACCCCAGTTCTTCTATGCACAAGTTAAAAAAAAAAAAACAAACAAGAAAATAAGATTTTAAGTTCTTCACTCAAATACGCAAAATTAAAATCTCCAGCATTTCACCAGCAAAATAGCAGTGTGTGTTTATTTTAGTCCCTGGCAAGTATTCAAACACAAGAATGTCTGTTGCTATAATGAAAACACTGGCATTTAAATGTATAAGGCAGACATATCAGGAAATGGATATCCTTGGATGACCAAAAAGAAAGGGGATCCTGAACTGAAGTCTATCAGTCACCAAGTGGCCTTTGAGAAGCTCAAGTCACCTTCTGTCTTAGTCACCCTTTGAGAAACTCAAAAAAATAAAAGGAATTGCCAGATGGACTGGTGGATAGGGCATCCTGGAAATGAGCTAGTAATCTATCACTTACCTCAGGTCCCCATGGCCAGCTCCTTGCATACCAGTGGAAGGTGCCTTTGTCCTGCTGGGGCCAGTTTTGCCCCCAAACAAAGTAAATATACATAAATATCTGAAGACCATGATTTTGTAGAGGTAAAAACTGTTAGCTTGAAGCATTCATCCTTATTTGGGATGCCTCTTTCAACCCAATAGCTTTTCAAACTGAGAGTTTTCCAAAACGAGATGAGAGGAGAGGTATAGCTCCAGGACTAGCGACACTGAAATGGTAGGAAAATGCCTTTTTCGTCCTGCATTCCAGATGCCCAGTGCCCTTGGGCTGCCCATGGTCAGGAGAAGGGTGGGCAAGGTGAGAAGGGAAGTTTGGCCTGATACCCCCAAATCCCATAGTACTGTCTCAATTAATTATTCTTTATGACATGGGGTAGAACAAAAGGGAATACCACTTTCTGAGCACTTATTTAGAGCCAAAGACTCTGCTAGTTGCATTATATACATTTTCTCTTTTGAATTCTCACAATCCTTATAATTATTGCTATTCTCACAAAGCTCAAAGGTAGTGAGGTAGTTAAGGAACGTAACCAAATTCACATAGGAAGTCAAACTTAGATCTGACTCCCAAGCCCATCTTATAGGCACACATTCTGTATATCTCTTAGATTCTTTCAGTCCCTGGACCCTCAGTCATTAGCTTTACTCAGTGGCAAGGTTCTATTAGACAAGGATTTACTGCCCATGAGGCCAACCAGGGTCTTGGATGGGAAACCCAAAACCTTCCCCTTCCTGCAGTTGGGCACCTGAGCTGATAAACAGCATGCCCGAAATTATGACTTCTCTCACTACTTCTGGACATAACTGAAAAACAATCTCCTTTCCTCCCAGCTACCACCATAGGAGGCCAGAGAAGCACCCTGAAGTGGTTGCCCAGGGGAAATTAGTTTCCCATTGGAAACCCAGTCTGACAATTTCCCTCTCCCTCTCCAAAGCACTGTCTCTGAACATCCTCCTTGCAGACTTCCCATGTGGCTCAACAGACACACCAGCTGAGTCATAGCTCTTCGGCACTATTCACGAAGCAATACTAAGGCATCTCCTGCATTGCTTCCCAACCTTTCTTGCCTCCCTTCTCTGTCATTGCTCTGAGATTCACTTTCCAAATACAGGTTCCTAGGGAACCCAGGCTTTCTGGTTTTGCTTTTAGTAGCTATTTTGTAATTTTTATTTTTTGTGTATAGTGTGGTATTGGCAAGCCTACCGTCCAAAACAAAGACTAGAACCTTGGCATTCCTTTACCTAGCCATGTGGTCCCACCCTCCCATTCCCTGCCTACACAAGATATCCCTACACAAGATAATCATCTAGAATTCCTTTGCTTTTTAAAATGGATTAGTCTTATTGCATCTCTGCATATAGACTCTTTCTGCATAATGTTTTGTCTTTGCTAGGATTTATACACATTGTTGTGAATTAGCGTACTTCATTTCTTTTTATTGCCATATAATATTCAGTGATATGAATATATCACAATTACCCATTCACTTTCCTATTGATAGGCATTTTAGATTGTTGCCAGGTTTTACACTGTGCTCAGAGTGGCGATGAACATTCTTGCACGCTTCTCCTTTTGCAGCTCTGCACAAGTTCCCCCTCAGGTTTACCCCCGGGAGTGAGTGGATTATTAGGTCCTATGCATATGAATGTTTCACTTCAGGAAATAATGCCAAACTTTTCCAAATTCGTTACACAGATTTGTGCCTTTTCTATCACTGAGTAGTCCCTAAAATCCAATTTTTACAGTTGCCTTTGTCCCGATAGTTGCCAAAAATAAGACTTGCTGGTTTATTTGTCTCCTCTGGGAATTTACATTTTTTTAGGAGGATGCTTAGAGAAGTTTTAATCCAAAACAATGAATTTTTCAGGTTGAATATGTCCAGGTCTCCATCTCTCTCTACACACCATTTCAGATTCACTTATTCACTACTTCATTTAAATGTTCACTGAGTTCTGGGACTGAGCTAGGCATGAAAATCCAGTAGTGGGAGACAGAGGCCCAGCCTTTAGGTTTGATGCATGAGAAGGATAAGAAGACAATTATGTTGGACTTGGATGTTATCTCCTTCCTATTTCTTCTTCATTTTTTTTCTCAGATGAATCAGGTGGGCTGACAGAAGGTGGGGGTGAGGACACAGGAAGGTTGCAGGGAGAGTGGGCAGGTCTACACTTAATTTGAAGTTACTCAACAGCAAACAACTTCAAGTACTCCCAGTCTGATTATTTGTTATCATCAGTCCCCCACCACTGGAAATTTCTTGGGAGAGTTTGGCTCTTCCTGACAGGGACAACTGGTTCTGGGTTGAGTCACAGCTCTGACTGCCCCATTCTCAGACTAGTAGAAACCTGAACTTCTAATTAGTTTTAGCCACACAAGGATATCTAAGAATGGCTAGAGTATCAGTTAGGCTCTCTCCTCACCCCCACCTCCTTCTACTCCTTATCCATTGTTTACCTCTACTGTACACCAAGTTGACTCCATGTGGCAGCAGGGCTGCCCCAGGCCTCTAAATTAGTTAGAGGCTATGATCCTAGAGAAAGGGTATTTTTCTGGACAGCCATTAAAAAACCCAGAGAGGGCCTCCCTGGTGGCGCAGCGGTTGAGCGCTGGGTTGCGAAGCTGCCCGCAGCCTCTGCAGCACCGGTTCGATCCCCGGCTGCTCCCCGGCCACCGGAGGAGGGTCCCGCATGGCGCACAGACCTCTCCTGCCGCCCACTGCTCCCCTCAGCAGTGTACTTCAGTCCTTCTGCCTCTTCTGCTCCCCACTCTGGCTCTGGTGAATTCTCTCACCCTCCCACGCTTCTGACTGTACCCAGTGCTTGTATAAATAAATAAATAAAAATAAATCTTAAAAAAAAAAAAAAAAAAAAAAAAACCCAGAGAGACTTCTGACTGCCCCAACTTATATCATATATTCTTTCAAGAACCAATTAATGTGTCTAAAGATAAAATGTTCTGATTGAACAAGCCTGAATCACATAGCCATCCTTGGGCCAAACCACCCGACCAGAAAGAATATTTTGGAACAAGGGTGGGGCTTGGGGTACCTGTGCTCTCACAAAGGACTGTTAGGCAGACACAAAAATGTGTGCCCAGTAAAGAGCCTAAGAATTTTTTACTTGCTTGCTCTAGTTCATCTTCTTCCTATTACCTCTTTCACTAGTAGGTATGTGAGAATAAGGCATAATATACTTTACATTGTCCCTTGGTATACTACCAAATTTAGCACAATGATCCTATAATATAAAAATAACACATCATTTCCCTGATTTTTTGTGCCCAATGACTTTAGTAATCATGTGCATAAAAAATATTTAGGGTTGTGTATCCAGTCTATCAGAGTATATATTTACAGTCTCCTCTAACAATTGAGCAAACAGGGACATCAATGGCTCCCCACACTTCACTTACATTTAGAAGGAATTCATTTCGTTCCCCACGCTGCCACTTCTCTTTAAATGGGTTATTGATGTGGAACTGTTGTGAGTTCTACCTCCTAAGTGGAGCATTTTTCATTTAGTTTTCTTGTCAGCTTTTTCTGGGGTCTCGGTATATTCCTTATTCTGCCCTCTCCTTGTCACCAGCAACTCTATGACTAATCACCCTTCTCTATTTTCTTCTCCTCAAGTCAGTCTATTAGAATTATCAACTCTGGAATTTCTGGAAATGTAGCTGGAGAATGGGCATTATGTTACAGGTAGGGATAGCATATAGAAGGTAGATATTACAATAAGGCCACACAGGCAGAGAACCACCTCACCTTTAATTATTAGAATTGGCTCTCAGGAGCCCCTCAGTTAGTAATGTCTAGTCAATAGAATTTCAAAGGGTTCTGAAATCCTACATAATATTTCTTGCATAGAACCTAAGTTAATAGAACTGACTATGTTGATTATGAAGAATATGGTGATAGCCGATTTATCTCTGCTTTACCACAGATTTTGCAGTGTAGTCAAATTGTAAAGAAGGAAAAAAAATTAAAAATGTATGTTTTGTGTGTTTCATTGCACATACCACAACTTGGAAATATAATTTTGTTTGTCTTTTTCTCTCTTTTTGTTTTTGGTCTACTTTCCTCTTTTAAGGATAAGAATATCCTGTTCCATTTTGGATGATTAGCACTTAGCAATGTACATGGTCCACAGGATGCTTGATCAACCAATATTGGAAGGTATAAAGTATTCGAAATTTTTTTCATCTCAAAGATCAGCAACTGTTAAATATGCTAAGAAAATCCAGTCTTTTCTAAACTAACTTGTGCAGGAACCCAAGTTTGCTCAATAGTGGGCAGATTTGCTACCAGACTTCCCAGGCATTTTTTTTTCACTACAACTTTTTTCCTACATTTTTTTTTCCTACAACTTCTTGGCAGCTTGGAACTTTCCCCTTTAGTCACACCTGTCTACTCCAATGGTGCTGAGATTCTAAGATCACCTCTTCTTTCCTGTACTCTCATTAAAATGCCCATTTTTCTCACTGCCAGGAGAAAAATCATTAGATATGTTCCCATTAAAAGGAAAGACTGGGGGTCTCCCTGGTGGCGCAAGGGGTTAAGCACCGCACATGAAGCAATCCAAAACCTCTGCAGCATGAGTTCCATCCCCAGCCGGCCAGGGAACAACCCACACGGCACAGCAGACCTCTCCTGACTCACCCGCTGCTCCCCTCAGCAGTGTATTTCAGTCAGTCTGCCTGTTCTGTTCCCCACTCTGTCTCTGGTGAATCCTCTCACACCCTGCATCTCTGGCCTGTACCTCAATTCTTGTATGCATAAATGAATCTTTAAAAAATAAAATAAAAATAAAAGGAAAGACTGGAGGTCTCCCTGGTGGCGCAAAGGGTTAAGCACCTCACTATGAGGCAATCCACAGCCTCTGCAGCACAAGTTCCATCCCCGGCTGGCCAGGGAGCAACCCAGACAGCACAGCAGACCTCTCCTGACTCACCCACTGCTCCCCTCAGCAGTGTACTTTGGTTAGTCTGCCTGTTCTGTTTCCCACCGTCTCTGGTGAATC